ATAAAGCACTACCGGCTGCGGAATCCCATGACTTAAGCAACCAGTGGTCAGGGCTGCAGAGACAGGAACCGCATAATGTTCTATTATTTTTCTTGTTTGCAGACGGTGACGAACTACAAGAAGATGCGTATAATCGCGCTCTACATAATGTCTAAGAACGGCATCTCCGAGGAGAACCTGAACAAGTTGGTGACGCACGCGCAGCTCGAGCCCGCGGACAAACAGGCGCTGCTCAACCTCGCCAACCTCGGTCTGAACGTCGTCGTCGATGTAAGTTATTATCTTACAGCCTCAAAATTAAACGCGCTATAAAATTAAACTTAGGAATAAACTGAGTATAAGCAAATATTGGTACAAATTTTACTTATACTTAATTTATTCCTAAGTTTAACTTTATTCCGCGTTTATTTGTAAGGCTGGTAATCTTATAAAATACTTCGAATTATAGTAACATATTTTCAGTTAAAAAAATAACCAAAAGTTTTATTTAAAAACTTAAAACTATATTTTTAAGTAGTTCAAGAAACAGAGATTCAGTGGTGGTAATACAGTCAAAAATTAAATATGACTTTGAAAATAGTAAATGAAGGATTAGATTTTGCTTTATTAGGTCTCATTATATAAAAATGCTAGCTTTCCTACGAAACAACGTCCGAAGGGAATTAAAAAAAATACTAGACTATGAATTCTAGATGCTATCCGTTGAAACATTATGGAGAAACATTGTAACAAACATCCATCCAACTTTCACATTTATAATATTAGTGAGAAGTAAGATTAGGAAATAATTCTCGTTTCTCTTCATAGGGCAACAGAAAGAAGCAATACCAGGTGCCAAGGAAGGAGCGCATCACAGAACAAACATATCAGATGTCGCGATGGACACCAGTTCTTAAGGTATTTATGTGATTCAACTCGATTTTTTTGAAAATCGATTTTAAGGTAATGATTTAATTTGTATTTTATTTATTAAGGATATCATGGAGGATGCAATTGATGACAAACTGGACCAGCGTCACTTCCCATTCCTGGCGGGACGCGCTCAGACCTCCGGGTATCAAGCACCCACCAGGTTTGTTTCCATGTTAAAATATACATATAAAGTCTACTCCAAATAAAAACCTAAACTGTGAACAGGAACCTCATATTTTTACATTAAAAGTAATAAGTAATGTATTTTTTGTATTCTAGGGGGGACCTGATTTTTATTCAATTTATATGTTCATAAGAATCCACAAGCATTATTAATTATATTTTGTTCGAATTAGAATTGCCTTAATAATTTCACGTTTTGTTTTTTATTTTCGTGTTTCAGCGTTCGCTACGGCCACTGGCATAAGGACAAAGCGCAACAGACCATCAAAAATGTACCGCGGCTTATTGTCTTTGTAGTCGGAGGTAAATAATAACTCATATATATATTCTAATCTTTACATAAGATTATATATAACGGTTTCTTTTTTATTTCAGGTATATGTTTCTCTGAAGTTCGCTGCGCTTACGAAGTGACAGCCGCTCTCAAGAACTGGGAGGTCATTATTGGCTCCTCCCACATCCTCACTCCGGATACTTTCCTAGCGGACCTCAACTCTCTCAGCGCTTAAAATAACAGCCAACATACTTATCATGATTAATATTCGAAATCTTTCATATTTCTATCTTTAATCCTTAATAGTTTCAAACTCAGTACATGTTGTTATAGACTAGACGTGTATAATCTGTAAGTAGCTTAGTTACTGTCACAAATGAAAAAAAACATACAAAAAATCACATACAAATTCTATAAACAGTATTGTAGATTAAAAAATATTGTCTCTACATAGCTATCCATAGACAAGTCTGCTACTTTTGAAATCCTATAATGTTTATCATAGAATAAGTATTATTCATTCGTTAACATGTTAAATTATTTAAATACACTATTATTATTGTTAATATTTACTGACTTTAGACATTGATTTGAAATTTTGTGTTTCATTTGATTTTAAATTATTTTTATTGTTAATATTATTGTTGTAGAAGTGGAATTTTGTCCAATGTTGGACTTTCCTGTTGGGCTGTTACATTACATTGCTTTTAGGTATAATTATGATTTAGAATATTTAATTATTGAAATATATCTAATATATTGTTAATTCACACTACGTATTTTCAACTTCTGAATTGTAGATGAATTATAGAAACAAAATTAGATTGTTGCGAATCGAAATAAATTACTATGTATGTTATTCATTTTGCAATTGTTTTGAATACAAGTTTATTTTTAATTATGTAGAACTGCACATATAAAATTTAATCGCCAATTTCATTTGTTTACATCATAGTTATATCACCAGTATAACTTCAATCACACATATTAATAACATGCTCGTTATCAACACATTCCAAACAAATAAACGATTGTTTAGTCACATGATTCATGTTTATCAGTAAGAAATACATAATTACATTTATTTAACATCAGGGTTATTTCAATTTAAACATCTTGCAATCATTAATAAACGAAAATAAAAAAAATAATCGCAGCATTTAAAGATTAATTATGAATTTATTTTCAACGTAGTAAAATAGAATTTAAAGTTATATAGGTTAGGCTTTGCCCCAAACTGATCATAATAATGTACTAATGTACATCATTTAATTATAGTATGTTGCTAGATTGGAAATTAAATATTGGAATACAATGAATGTTGAAATACAATTAGATTCACTTTTATAGCGGTTTCGTGACCATTACGTTCAATTATGTAGAAGTATGCTATTTAAGCCTAAACCAATTGTCAGTATTCAAATGTTAAACGTTTTATTAAATTAATTAATCATCGAATTGTGTTTTTTAAAACCATAATGTCCCCTTGGTAATGAACCTTTAGAATGAAGATATTAATGCTCGACCCCTAGGTTATCACGATGTAATATATACATGAACTGGTTAAGAAATAAATGATTCTTAACGAAAGCTTGGACAGTAGCAATATTCCACGCAATGGCTAAAGATCTTGTTATTTTGGCTTATTCAGGCGGTTTAGACACCAGTTGTATTTTAAAATGGTAATTTTTTTCTTCTACATTTTTTTCAATTGATACTAATAATTTTTTTTTTATTTGTCACATGTGAAGAAATTATAGTAGTGTTTGTAAAGTAATTAACAAGATTTTTTATAATTATTGATTAAGTTGGAATATTTAATTATGGAATAATTTGATCTGTAGGTTGATACAAAAAAATTACGATGTCGTTTGTTATATGGCCGATGTCGGCCAAGACGAAGATTTTGAAAAAGCCAGAAAGAAAGCTAAGAACATCGGAGCGAAGGATGTAAGTTGACATTTCTTTTATCTATCATTAGCCTGTCTGAAATGTGTTTATTATTCAACTTTCTTGTTAACTTCTTAGGTCATAATAGAAGATCTGCGTAAAGAATTCGTCGACAACTATATGTTACCAGCTGTTCAAATGGGCTTAATCTACGAGAGTCGATACTACCTGGGCACTTCTTTAGCTAGACCTTGCATCTCCGTTGGCATCGTCAACGCTGCTAAAAAACTAGGCGCTAAGTAATACTTCATTTAATTGAATATTTCAAAAATTACTAAATGAGTATAAACATTGTTTGGTTTTTAAGGTATATATCACATGGAGCTACTGGAAAAGGCAACGATCAAGTTCGATTTGAACTAAGTGTGTACTCACTATGGCCAGAAGGAAAGGTGATGCGAAGTTTTTTTTACAAATTCTTTGACTTTAAGCCTCGAAATTTAATAACAACAACGAGCAATTCTTTTTCCAGATAATAGCACCATGGCGCCTTCCAGAGTTCTTTGAACGATTCCAAGGTCGTAGCGACCTTATAGAATTTGCTAAGAATGAGAACATACCGGTAGCAGCAACACCTAAAGAACCTTGGTCAACAGATGAGAACATTATGCATATAAGGTAGGGAAATATTGTGAAAAAAGGAAGAATTTTTTTTCTAAAGCATGTTGCAACTGCGCTTAGAAAATTATTACATACTAGTTGTTGCTCGCGACTTCGACCGCGTGATTTTTTTTCATATTGAATTATACTGTTAGTGATAACGAAACTTTTTTAAGGTTAAAGAATTTTTGAAATCGGCCCAGTAGTTTTTAAGTTAATTCAATACATACAAATATACTAATTTTCCGTTGTTACAGTTACGAATCGGGTGTACTTGAAGACCCTGGAGTTGCAGCATCGTCCGGGATATATAAGATGACTCGTGATCTTAACAAGACTGAAGACTATCCGAGCACCATTGATATTGTTTTTGATAAAGGTGAGAATTTATGAACCTTGCTTCCCTAGTTCCTAATAAACTCTCCGGTAATCGGAAAGAGAGCAAAATAATTTGACGTAGTTTATCCAAGAAAATAATATTAAATATTTTTTTTAATTTACAGGTTTACCTGTGTCCATTGTGATACCAAGCGGTCATGATAAGCCACTGGAATTATCAGATTCTCTTACCATAGTTCAGACATTAAATAAGCTTGGAGGTCAGCATGGAGTGGGACGAATTGACATCGTCGAAAATCGATTTTTAGGTCTTAAAGTAAGTTGGAAATTCTTTCCTACTAATCCTCAATTATTTATAAACCTAACTAAATTTAAATTCGTCTTAGTCGAGAGGTTTGTACGAGACCCCGGCTGGAACAATTCTACACGTTGCGCACCTCGACCTTGAGGCCTTCGCTTTGGACAGGGAAGTACTAAGGTAATATATCACAATCATAAGATCATTGGACAGTAATGTAATAAAATTATCTTAAACTGAAGTTTTAACTTAATCAGTATTACTTAAATGCCACTAAATACTGTCGCTTTCAAAGAGAATGTAATAATAATAAAAAATGTAATAACAAGTAATCGCAGACATGTGGGAAATACTATGTCAATAGGTCAAAGTACTAGCGATAATTGCTAAAAGATGAGAATAGTCTGTTTACGCTTTATTAAGATAAAGTCCTATTAAAACAACATTCAATGTGGTGTAAATATAAAACTTCCAAAGTACCCAATGATGTAAATGAATTTACGTTACATGTATCTGTCTTGAATCTTTTTAATGCATGTGTATTTATTTAAGGATGAAAAAATATCTGCAAGAAAAAATGTCTGATTTCGTATACAATGGCTTTTGGTTCTCCCCCGAAGCGACATACACTAGAAAATGTCTAGAATTATCTCAACAGGGCGTCAGTGGTAAAATCACCGTACAAATCTATAAAGGAAATGGTAAGCTGAATTATGTTCGGTGTTTAACATATTATTCTTACGCCTATGTTCAAGATTGTACTTATCAATTTATCTTTCAGTTTCAATACTATCCAGGAAAAGTTCTACTAGTTTATATAATAAGGACTTGGTATCAATGGATGTTGCTGGAGGATTTTCGCCTGAAGATAGCACTGGATTTATTAACATCAATGCAATCAGACTTAAGGAGTATGCTCGATTTACTGCACAAACAAAATTTTAATTTTTGAGCAAAAGTAATAAAGCTGGATTAAAATAATCTATTTTCCTTGTTTTTATTATAGTTAAATTATGGTACTTTTGAAACTTAAGCCATACCATACCGAATATGGACCAAATATTTCTAAGTTGACTTCTTTTTTATAATTCGCTGTATGAGTGTTTTTGTATTAAAGGGTAAAACATAAGTGGATATGGGAATCAATGTATGAAGGAATTTTACTATCCCGGATTGAGAAGTTTTTGTGAGATAGACTAGGAATAAGTTACTGATTAACAATTAAAGAGACATGTAAAAAAAAAAAAGCTGAAATGTGAATATTTATTTATCACTGGGTTTTTACTACAACTAAAATGACTTGTTTTTTTTTAATATGGTAGCACTGGCTTCTTCAGCTGTCATTTACTGTCACTGTCATTATCGGTTGAAATTTGGTTATTTATTTATGTTACAAAATTGAAACACAGCTAAAAGAAGGAGAAAAATAAAGTAATTGTAATTGTAAGCAAATACTCCTATTAGTTAATAAGCAGATCGAATCAAACGTCATTAAAAACCCAATAATTATATCAGAATCATCTGTCTTATCATAAACCCAAAGTATCATCACCATTAAATTCCTTGTTTTAAGTCCGAGACGACAAAATGCACAGAAATTTGCCACAAAATAAAGAAGCCCTTCTGAAATCCTATACGACGCGACTAAAGGAAGATGTCAAAAGTATGCTGGAAAATTTTGAAGGTGAGTGCCCCATACTATTTTATTATGGAATACATAGCTATGTAAAGTGCATACGTATAAATTGTATGTTTCCAAGAGCATATACAATGGCTAATTTTCATAAAGTTGTAATTGTGTGCCACTTAAATCATGTCTTTGTTTAGATAAGCCAATAATAATGTGTAAATCATTTATAAATTTCACTAGTATGAATTTTAATATTTCAGAAATAATTAAACTCGCTAAAGGCGAAAATGATTCACAGCTAAACAGGATGACACAAATTGAACAAGATACTTTTGAAATGCAAGTCAGAGCAGCAAATATTGGTAATATATTGTTTTTTTTTTTATACAATTATGTATACATGAGTAATTGTCAATAAAAAAACTTACATTGCAGTTAGAGCTGGTGAATCCTTGATGAAGCTAGTCTCAGATATCAAGCAATATTTAATATTAAATGATTTTCCATCAGTTAATGAAGCTATTACACAAAATTCTAAACTGTTTCGCACAAAACAACAAGAATGTGATCAAAAATTGATGTCACTAAGAGATGATATAGCAGCCGATTTGTATGATTTAGAAGATGAATACTTTACAAGTTTATATAAATAAACTAAAAACTGCATTTTCAATTTAATATCCCTTAAACCTTAATTTGATAATGTCCAAAGTAAAAATTCAACTAAAATAACTGTTCCATTTCTATCATCACATTCATATCCAAAAATGTCTTTTTTTTTTAATTATTTAAAAAAGTATTGAACTAAGAGTTAAACAAAACTATAAATAATAAAAAAGCATCAACTTTTACATTCTTTTTCTGTAACCCAAAGTTAGATAATAATTAAGTACTAACTACAACCCTAATTAGAAAACAAGTATGCATATTTTATTCTATGTTCTATACCATGACCTGCACTGGGCAAACATTAAGTCATCAATTCAACTGAACTTTAAGAAGTTTCAAGCTCCTCAATAGGGACATATAGAACTGTGACCACATGATTATGACCAGACAATGTAATAAAAACAACATTAATTTCAGAAACATCCAAATATTATATTTAAGCAAAAATCTAAACACTGATTGAAGTTAAATTAATTAGTTTTCAAACACAATGAAAAACAATAACTTTCTGAATATTTTATTGCTATTTAATGTTTTCTAATGCTTTAAAGGTTCAACAAAACAATTCAAATCCTATTTTTGACAGAACAGATAATGAGGTCCATCTTTAGGATACTGCTTGATGGTGACTGGTCTTCCGAATTTGTAATCTTCCAGGAATATGTACAAAGCGAATGACCCACCAATGACACCCAAGAACCATGTCCATTGATGCAGAAGTGAGAACCTCGGCTTCATGCTAATGTCATAACGGTCTTCACCATATATCTCTTGACTGGCATGAATCTATATATAGTAAAATTGTATTATTAACATTTTTAATTTAAAATACTAAATATTAGTTTGTAGACACACTGTAGTAGTTGGAAGTATCAGAAATAAATTGGAATATAAATATTTTTTTCAAATGAAAACATTGCAAAACTGTGAAAAGTGAAAATACTAGAAAATTTGAAATGTGAGTAAATTATTGAAGAAACGGAACAATCATGTTCTGATTGCTTCAAATTATATTAAGTATAATAGTTGGTACTAATATGCTAAAGGACACCACTGATTAACAACTTATTGACATGATTGTTAGAATTCAATCCTGTAAACAAATTATTTGCTCCATTGTATACTTATACAATGTTATGCATTATGCATGCTTATGCAGTAAGTTATTTACATACCGGTTCGTTAAAATTCCTCTTTAACTCCGGGTGATCATAAGGATAGAAGGGATCCTTAGAATCTGCACCAATATCAGGCAGTTTAGGATAATCACCATAACACATGTGTTCTGGATAAGGTTGGTATTCTTCTATGGTCATCCCATACTTTTTTGCAGCCGCCGCTCTTTCTGCGGGGGTTTTCGGATAAGGGCCTGGTTTGTACTGATAGTTCCAATCTAAAAGTACAAAATGTGACGTAACTCCATTAAAATAATACTTATTATGTATAAGATTTATAGTAGAAGTTTAATTATTGAACATTACGGTTTCTAGTTGCGTTACGAAATATTTCAGCCGCCTTACGAACACCATTAGGATTAGATATTAATATTTTCTTCACTAAAGCTGAAGCCATTTTTCTCGATGTTCTGTCAGAATTTCAAAATTGAGTAATAAATGTCAAATCGTATCAAAATGATATTTTGACATATTTGTTTCTATCTGCTATAGCATTCAGTTTATTCAGTTGGAGAGTGTAAAATAATTTTACCTTGTGGGATGTAAATTGTTTAATTATTTCACTCATATAGGTATAGTAATTTTAGTTTTTCGTCTGTAGATAACGGCTACATAACCTTGGGTAAACAATGGATGGATAACGAAAATGACATCGTCCTCTCAGTTTTAAAAATATAAGTGTCACTGTCACTGCTTTGTCAAAATGTCAGGAAAATCGGAAGGTCTAAGTTGTGTGTCAGGTTAGCCAGTAATAGTAAGCCACATATAAATTATATATTGTAAATTAATTTATCACCAGACCAATATTCGTCACATCTATTTAGGAATGATATATTCTGTGTAAAATAATGAGTAATGTTTTATCGAGTGAAACTTAAAAAGAGTGATTACAATAGTTACAAATAAAGTCATCAATGATGGGCAATGAAAACTCTCACTTAAGTGGTCTCAAAATTGATGAGAGACCTACCGAAACCACAGATTTTTGGTCACATTTTCAAGCAACGATTAGTGATAGTTGTAGATATTTTAGTTTAAAAGATGATGGTTCTGTGTCTGTGTTTAAAGGAGAGGTTGTATTGGGACCTTTATGGATAACAGCAACGCCATTGGAAAAGTTTTCTAATGTATGTATTACTTAAAATTTAAGTTATTTCATTGAAAAATATATGTAAGGACGTGCATTTCATACATATGTTTTACAGAATCTCTTGAAATATCGGCATCCTTGTATTGTGAGATATATATCATCATGGCAGCAGAGGACATTTCATTTAGTTACGGAATATGTGCAACCTTTATCACAAGTGTTGAATGAACAAACACCTTTACAAATTTGCATTGGATTAAATAACTTACTTAGAGCTTTGGTATTTCTTCATGAACAGGTATGTCAGATTTCATTTATAATTAAATAGATTATGTCTGTAATTAGTAAAATATATTGTTTAAAATACACTATTAGAGAATGAAAAAAAGATAAATTTTAAAAAGGTTTGACAACTGTTAATTTTATTTTTTATTAAATGTGATATTTTAGGCTGGTGTGTCACATAATAATGTCAGTATGTCTTCAATATATGTATCAGGTGATGGTCAGTGGAAGCTTGGAGGATTACAATATTTGTGTACATTTACTGATTTAAATCACTCATATTTGAAACATGCTAGAATTCACAGGTATGAGAATAATGTTCAATTGATTCTGTAATACTGTTTTATTTTTAATAAATTATTTTTTAATAGATATGACAAAGCAGTGGATCCAGATGAAGAGTCACAAGAGCTTATATCTAAGGTAGACCAATATGCTTATGCTGTTTTAGTATTTGATGCCTTCAAAGGTCGGAATGATGGTAACTACCTTTATTTCTTAAGACTTCATAATATTTTACTTTAGAATGCACATTAATTTTGATTCTTTTACTTTCTAGATGATGTTCCATATTTAAATGATTTTAAAAAGTTTTGCAAAGATTGTCTTCAAAATAGCAATCCTGAAAATCGACCAAATTTGTCAGAAGTTTTACAGCATGACTTTTTCAATCATGAATTTATTTCAATTTACAAATTCCTGTACTATTTGCCACTAAAGAAAGAAGAAGATAAAAGTCAATTTTTTTCTAACATTCTAATAAATCTAAAACACTATGATGAGGAAACTGTTGCAAACCAGCTTGGTGGGCTATTACTGTCAAGACTAACACTTCTAGATGCAACAGCAAGAAGAGATGTCATTCCATATATTTTAAAACCTAAAAATGGTATGATATCCCTTAACATTCTTAGATGCTAATTAGACTTTATTTACCAAACAAGTTTGTTTTTTACCTTGCAGATAGATTGCAGAATGAAGATTCCACTGGCTTTTTTAGCTTAGGTGTATTTAAAGAACATGTGAAACCAAGATTGTTACAGTTATTTGGAGTTAGGGATAGTCAAGTCAGAATGATCCTTTTAATGCACTTTACTAAATTTGTTCATGTTTTTTCTCATGAAGAACTTTCACAGCATATTTTACCAGAGGTATTGTTAATTTGCTTCTTGCAGAGTTATATATGATTCAGACAGTGTGCAATTCAATGTTTTTTTTTATTTTTCCAGTTACTTCTTGGTATAAAAGATGTAGATGATAATTTAGTTGCATCAACTTTGGTTTGTTTGAGTGAACTCGTACCAATATTAGGTGCGGATACTGTAATAGGAGGTAAAAGATCTAAATTTTTCACCGATGGCAGACCTAAGTCAAACAGTGTCTTAATTGATACATCTAATATGCACAAAGATGTGAGATATACAACAAAATCATTAAGTGATTTCCGTTGCTCTGAAGTTTACAATACTGGTGTTCCATTAATGTTTGAGAAAACAATGGCATTAAATGAACGACCCACCCCTGTAGGAGGAGAGGCTCAAGATGAAGATAAAAATATGGAACCAAGCACAAGTATGTTAACTGATTCGGAAGAAGAGTGGGGTGATTGGGATAACCCTAATCGACAACTTACATTGGAATCAGATAAAATTGATGATATTGATATTATTAATTCTTCAATCAGTAACATTGATATTGATAAAGCAAAACAAATGCAGAAAATTGAACAATCAATCTCTGTAGAAAAACCACTAACAGATAGAAGTTTGTTACAAAAAGCAGCCATCGAAGCAAAAAAACACATTATTGACATTTCAGAGTTGGATATAAAAAGTACAAAAATAGATTTTAAAAGAAGCGTAGACGAATTTGATTTCTTTGCAGATATGGAACCAGTTATAGAGAAACATAACATTGCTACAGAGACAGACAAATTACAAGATGTGAGTAGTAAATTAAATTTTGTTCCTGCTGAAGATTGTGATGAAAATGAAGGTTGGGGTGAAAATTGGAATTAAATGCGGTTTTTCAAGGTTCAGATTTCAAATATTTATTGAATCAAAGTGAATGTTACATTTAAATAATACTAAACTGTCTTGATAAATTATAATGTATATAAATGTAAATATAATGCAATATAGAAGACTAGCATAAATGGTTATACAAATTATTTTAGCTTCTGTAAGCTTTAAAATGGCAAGATTCATCTCAGTTCATGAAAACATTTTTAAATTAAAATGAAATCTACTTTTACAAAATTATTATCCAATTGTTATGTAGAATATGTATTTAACACAGCCTAATTGTAATTTGCAATAAAATCTATTCTCTAATTTATCTTAATAAACATTTGATATATGATTTCTTCACACATATTGTTTGATTTGCTCTCTAATTAAACACAGTGAAATTAAAAGTAGCTAAAAATAAGTAACATTTTTGCTTAATAATACTGGTAACATTTATAAATCATAAATGTGTATAATAAATTTGACTAGAACTCATCACTTTAAACATAAGTGTTCAACTTTGGTGATTTATATTCATATTTTGAGTAATAACTTAAAATTAATTAACAATAACACAAATGTAATGCTAATGATGTAAACAATGATCACAGTCAAATATAAATTAAATTGCGATTTTCTTTTGCTTAACTAAATCTTTGGAGCTCTCATTGAAGACTTCAATCATTTTGTGACGCACCATTTCAGACAGACTTTCTAAATCATTACGAGTCATACCTTTTGTTGGTATTGGTGGCAAACTAGTGATCACTACTTTTCCTGGGAATAAAATTATTTCCATTTTAATAATGATAAATATTCCACTTGATGATAGTAAATTCCAAAATAACAAGGAAGAAAATATAAAGTGTGACATAAAAATACTTTTTAACTTTAATGCTTCTTTATCATAGACAGTAAGCACATTCAGGAAGCAAGAATTTTGTTCATGTACAAACCTGGTTCAAAAGTTTTTGTCTCATTATCAAGAAAGTAATATTGACTAAAAACAACCGGCATTATTGGTATTTGGGCATCTATGGCTAGATAGAATGCACCTTTTTTAAATGGCTGTATATTACCATTGTTGTATCTTGCGCCTTCAGGAAATATCCACAACTTAGTCTAAAAAAAATAACAGCATTTAAATATACACACATGTACTTTTAAGTTGCGAAGGTAATTTTTTTCGCGCGTTATCAATTATTTTAGATGAAAACATTTTATTTCTTACCTTTTCGCGTATAACTCTGTCAGTGGCTTGTTTCATAAGGCGACGAGCTTTGTCAGTTTTAAGACGATCGATGAAAACAAGACCAGAAAGCCAAGCACCGAATCCAAATGCTCCAGCGAACATTAGAGGTCTTTTTGCTACAACAGTACACCGCTTCATTCGCGGCCACATCTCAAACATACCTGTTAAAGGAGCAATAAGTGTAAGTATTAAACATTTATCAAACATTGCTCATGTTAAAAATTGCATACCTAAAATATCTAATGAGCTCTGATGATTCGAAATAACTATGTAACACTGTTCATTATCCCAGTGCTCCAATCCTCGTAATTCCCATTCAATACCCACAATATGCGAAGCATAACGACAAAATCGAGATGCGACACTGTAAGAATAAGAAACTCAATTAAATTTGTTAATTACACAAGATTTTCACGGACATAAAAAATAATCAATATTTTACATGAGATTCGTAACATCACGGGGATAAAAAAACACTACGGGCAATAAAACTGTACACGTTATTAAAACATAACTATAGTACAAGAAAAACTTTAAGTAATATCGAAAAACATTGCTTTTTTCATATAAAAAGGGCAAGGTAAATATAAAACCCGCCAAAAATAATTCAGGATATGAAAAGGAGGAAGCCATAACGAACCATAGACGTATGTTTTTAATTTTACCAGAAAAATAGTAAAAAGTAATTCATAGACAGATTTTTACTTTTTTGCTTTGTTTTTAGCTTGATCTTTTTTCAGTTCTAAATATACTATTACCGAGTTGATGAATACGCTCTTTTTGTTCTTTACGAAAATATTATTATATCAACTGTTTTGTACATAATTTTTACAATTAAATACCACCACCGAGCAGGAGTAATTGGAGCAGTTAACTAATCACAGGTGGTATGTTTAAGAACTATGTGCAAATTAATGTTAAAAATGCAAGAAAGAACTAAAAACATAAGAAATGACTAACTAAAAACTTACTTCTTTGTTTTCTTTAAAGCTTTAAACTTACATAATTGCCTTTTATTGCACACAGTAAGATAATGCTATTTCTAAATAGTAAATTAATTATTTTCCTATATATTACATGATACAACTACGTGTTAAATAATAAATAAAATAAAGTAGAAAAATAAAATGTTAAAACTTTGCTACACTTCAAGTTTTGCAAGAAGTAAGGCAACACCAAACGAATTTCTGTCAATTCGCTGTTAACCAAAAAAGACTCTTTTCCGGTTTCCTCCTTCGGTGGGTAACCGAGTTACTTGAGATTTTATAATTTTGTTACGATGGTGAGCAAAAGATTGTAAAATAAGATTTCAGTTTTCTTTTAAGAACAAATATCTCTCTATAATAAATTATATTTTGCTGTTCCAGTGAATGATTCCGTGTTAAAAAGTGGATAGGTTATACCACATATTGCTTTCGCCATTCACTTTTTCATATGTTGTGTTAAATATTATATTATTGTTCTTTTTCACCCAACCTAAAAACATGATGAAATAACGACACATGCGCGTCATCTGATGCCGCAGAAGACTCAAAACCAACTAATTGTGCCATGTTCTATGTGTACAACCGTGTTGTTTTGTATTCGACTGCAGCGTTATTGATTATACAGTGTCTCTGATAACTTCAAGTATATACTCAAAACTTTGTTTAGTTACCGCAGTCACTATAATATTCAATCGTTTTCAGGGTTTCGTGAAAGTAGTCAAGAATAAGCAGTACTTTAAGAGGTACCAAGTTAAGTTCAAGAGGCGTCGTGAAGGTAAAACTGACTACTATGCCCGCAAACGCCTTATTGTTCAGGTAAGTTTCCAACCAATGTTGTGATTAAATACTATATAACTTTTTGTATTTGGACTGTATGCTTAATGATGTGTTTTATGCCTTTAGGACAAGAACAAGTACAACACTCCGAAATACCGCCTCATTGTACGTCTGTCCAACAAAGATGTTACCTGCCAGGTGGCTTACTCAAGAATTGAAGGAGACCACATTGTGTGTGCTGCCTACTCCCATGAACTTCCCCAGTATGGAATCAAAGTAAGTGGTCCAGCAGTCTAAAAATCAAATTCAATGCCAATCTTACAATACTCAATGCTAAATTATAAGTTATTTTTCAACATGATGATTTTGAACGGGCGGTCTGAAGCACTGTACAAATGCACAAAACCCTGTTGTTATATGTTCATTACTGAATGAAATAAGTTAATGTTAAGAATCTCTTTTTAATGTTATTGTATTTATAAAATGCAATTTGTTTTTAGGTAGGTCTTACTAACTATGCTGCGGCATACTGCACGGGCTTGTTACTTGCCAGACGTCTACTGCAGAGGTTAGGGCTGGACTCCCTGTATTCTGGAGCGACAGAAGTCACTGGTGATGAATACAATGTAGAACCTGTAGACAATGGCCCTGGTGCATTCAGGTAAACTTATAGAAATTTGATTTTAGGGTTATGTAATTGTGTAAGTTTTGTGTTCTTCTCAACACTTAATATGGTATAGGTTACACCAGATATCTATTATCTTATTACGATATATTGTAAAAACTCCAGATTTTTAAATTAATATTTACAGGTTATTTTGGTATAACTAAACATAATTTTTAAATTATGGCTTTTACTTTCATTTCTCCTGACAAATTAATATGATGACAACAAACGGGCGGACTGACATATTCTGATGCTAACAAATTATTGTACAAACTTAACTGAGCAGTTTATTTTCGATGAACAAATGTACTTTATTTAGAAACACTCCTAAAAGTATATTATTTTTAGGTGTTACCTCGATGTTGGTCTTGCTCGCACCACCACCGGAGCCCGTGTGTTTGGCGCCATGAAAGGAGCAGTTGACGGTGGACTTAATGTACCACATTCCATCAAGAGGTTCCCTGGATATGATGCTGAATCTAAAAAGTTCAATGCTGAAGTACACAGGTAATTTATTTTACTGTGCTTTATGAAGTATTTGCTCCATTCATCCATCGACTAATAGAATATCTATTTATCGAACAGCCCAATCGGAGCAACATAAATATCAAGGTTATTGGTTGTGAACAGAAACTACATTTTGTTTCTCTAAACCGGTCTTGATGACACTCAAATAAGCTTATGAAATTATGAGGAAATACATTTGAAAGTACTTATGTTACACTTGTTAATTAGTTTTCCTGCAACACAGTTTAATAGTTTTGAATTACCTACATCAACTCAATATGTGTAAGTTTAATTTAATTTTGTTTCTACAGGGCACACATCTTTGGTTTACATGTTGCTGAATACATGCGCAATCTTGAACAAGAAGATGAAGATTCATTCAAGAGGCAATTTGGCAAATACATTAAACTTGGAGTAAATGCTGATGCTGTAAGTTGAACATAATTGTATTAATTATAATTAATTTACGTCCAACCAAATTACTGTTCATTTCATGAATGTGCAGTGTCCGAAGTTGGACAAAATGAAGGCATTTATAACTTACTAATCACTGAATATTTTTTTTCAGGGATCATATGTAATGCTACAATAAATTATGTAATAACTCATTCATTAGTCAATTGTTTGTGCATTTTTTAATCATTCCTATTTTTTAAACAGATTGAAACAACCTACAAAAAAGCACATGAAGCAATCCGAGCTGACCCATCCCATAAGAAGAAGGAAGCCAGTAAAGACAAGGTGAAGCAGAAGAGATGGAACAAGCGCAAGCTGACATTGGCTGAGAGGAAGAACAGAATCAAGCAGAAGAAGGAATCCTACATCAAGAAACTGAAGGCACAGGCAGAAGCTTAATGGCTGTTAAATAAAGTGCAAATTCACAGTGGAATTTTTTCTTATTATTTCTAGACCCTTAAACATTTTCATATCCTTCATAAGCATGAAAACAATAACTCCTTATCTGTGCTGCCACTAAAAATATAACTACATACAGAACATACCTGTAATACTGTAAAAATATATATTACTTTAAAAAATTACTCTACATATTTTGTAGACAGAAAACCTATCATCGTAATGTAAATAAATTAACGTTTTGTTGATAAGCGAAGACATCTATTTCGGAAAGGTATTCTGACAAAAAATTTAATTACAACTCGTTAAATTAGCTATAGTAATTCATGGAATTTACGTTATCTGTGCTCTGCTTAAACGTCAAAGTCAACTATTTTTGTTTACTTTACAGTTTGTTTCTGTAAACTAACTTATTTATCTAACTTTATTAATCGAGTAGACATGGGAAACCCGGATAGCTTACTACCTAATTTAGAATCTTTACACGTTTGTCGTATATGTCTAAGAAAAGGACATCATACGCTGAATCTGTTTTCTGAAAACGAAGAAGCAATAAGGATACTAAATAAAATATTGGATTGTTTTCAAATAAAACTTGAGTTCAAAAAACAATTGCCGTCATTAATCTGCAATAAATGTATAGAAGACGTTACTATCGCTTGGAAATTCCGAGAGAAATGCATTAATTTTGAAGAACAGTTTGCCCTTTACAGAAAGAAGATTTTAGAAACTAATGTAACTTTGTTACACTGTGAAGATGTAAATGATTATCATGAACTCGTTGTAGTAAAAGAAGAATTTCGACCAAACGAAGATAATGTAAATTTAACTAATCACATCACAGTTACAGGTAATTTCTATTTTGTAATACATGTGAAATGAATAAAATGTCAGTTTTCTTTACATTGGAATTATTTTAATTCTAGAGACGATCTTGCCGAGAACTATAGAAAATAAGTTGAGATGTTCTTATTGTAACAAAACCCTTAAAAGTGAAGCTTCATTACAAAAGCACAAAGTGTCAATGCATCAAAAAAGGAAACATCTGGGTAATGTGACTGGTTTTGGGTCTAACCGACGTTATCATTGTACGAAATGTTCCTATGCTACCCCACACAGTCAGACATTGAATAATCACATGAGAACACATAATGGGGAGAGACCTTATAATTGTGAATGTGGAAAAACTTTCACACAATCATCCAGTCTAGCTGCACATAAAAAGACTCATAGCACTATCACTTTCTACACATGCTCTGTATGTGGAAAGCAATTTAAACATGCATTCAGTTTGAAGACACATTTGTATGTTCATGAGATTGCCCAATTCTCATGTGATATCTGCAATAAAACGCTTAAATCTAAACAATCATTACAAGCGCACATGCAAAGACATTACAACATTCACAATTACAGCTGTGAGGACTGTGGCAGTACATTTGTGACATGTTCAGAATTATCAAACCATAAGAAAAAGCATAATATTGAGAAGAATGTAGAATGTCATCTTTGTGGTTACAAAACACATGCAAAGAAAAACTTGGTTATTCATCTCAAAAGGTACATATCAAATTAGTCTCATTAACATAATATTCTCAGGAAAGTGTATTATCTATTATGATGAATAATATTCTTATGTAGTTAGCTTTTTTAGTCTCATGTTTTGAAAATAGAGCAGAATAAGTTTCTTGAATACTAACTCTTCACATTTACTATTTTCTCTTCCTCTGAAATGTTTATTTGTTCATAAAGTTCAGTGAACACTATTAACAAGTTATTTTTGCAGACATGCTGGTGAAAAATCATATAAATGTGAGCTGTGCACTTTATCATTTTATACAAATGGTGATCTTCAAAGGCACAAACGAGTTCATACTCGGGATAAACCATTCATATGCCCAACTTGCAGCCAACGTTTCACACACAGCACAAGTTTGAATAAACACATGCGCAGTGTTCATGGAATTAATTACAAATGGTCGGATGTTAAATGGAAGGAATCAAGAAAAATTAAAGTTGTTGCTGAAAAGAGTTATGAAGCTAAGGTTAAATAAAACAAATGATAAATATTCTAAGAATTTTATTTGATTCTAAATAATCCGCTTATTCTAATAACTACAGTGTAGATATATTTTTTAACCTAACCATTAAAATATTCTGTGTTATTATATAAAAAGGGAAAGATTGATTTAGGTTACTAATAATTAAATCCTTTATGTCAGTTTTTAAATTAAGAGGTTTCTGATAAACATGCAAATCACAAATACTATTAGTACATTTACTATTATTAAAAAGAACTTACATTTATTAAGATTCAAAGTCATTTAAAATTCAAATAGATGTCAGCACATATGCAAAAGTCACTAAAACTAAAAATATCTAATCCTCTTCATAATCGTCGTCGTCGGAAATATACTTGCGCTGTTTGCGTTTTCTTGGCGTGTTTTTGCTTTTGCCCTTCAATTTAATTTTCATTTTTACTGAGCGATTTGATTCGCCATCGGAGTCATCCTCATCTAAAAAATTATGACATTAGAATCGATAAATTCAAGATAAGTTTCAATTGAAAGCCTAAATTAAATAAACCGATGCGTATACATGGCATAAATTATGAGATAAATAGCTAAAAAGGGAAAGAAACTTACATCTTTGTAAACATTTTGTAAATTTTTGTACTATCCGAAACAATTACAAACTTTTTGTAAATTATCTCTGGTTTATAGTTTTGATTAGAAGTCTGTATAATCTAACCAATAAAACAAAAACCCTCGCTTCAATCGACTATTGCCATCATTTTAATATTTTTCTGCAATACGGTGAGTTCTTTATAATTCTGGTTAGTTACCTTTATCATTGTCATCCGAGTCGTCGGAGTTCTGTGCGGCGTCATATCGCCGACGGAATTCAATAAAGACGTTGCGCAGACGCACAGAGTCCGCGTAGATGAGGGACGCCTCCTCATTGTAAGTCTGTGCATTAGCACACAGAGTGAAGAAATCACGCTCCAAGTCAGTTATATCCGAGTACTGTGAAAAGAATTATTGAAAAAAAAGTTAATACTAGCTTTTGCAATTTCGTAATTAGAATTTTACTAGCTTTCGCCCGCGAGTCCTATGTGTTCTTACAGAGTATGCATTTATGCCAAATTTCATCGATCATCATCCATCCATCTAAACTATCTCATTTATAATCTATACTAATATCATAAAGAGGAAAAATTTATATTTCTGTATGTATTTAAATAACTCAAAAACTACTGGGCTGATTTTAAAACTTCTTTCACTGTTAGAAAGGTTGATCTATGAGTAACATAGGCTATATATTTTTTAGTCGCGAGCAACATTTACAGTATTAGTAAAATTTAATTTAATATTTACTACATACTTTAATTTAATATTTATTACTGTACAGTGTGGTACTAAACAAACATAAAATTAAACAAATTCTTGCCTTGCCCTCTTCAATTCTGTTCATAATCTTCTTGATGTCTAACGGTTTCTTTATAATGTCGTAATAATCTGGCAGTTCCCGTCGCGAAGGCAATTTCATGAATGGCTCCGACAGCAAACGACCGCCGCTGTAAAAATTTTAATTTATTTAGCTAAATCTATTACTAGTAGTAGTAGTAGTAATAGTGGTAGTAGTAGTAATAGTGGTAGTAGTAGTAGTAGGGATTTTGGTTTCCACGGCTCCACGGCTAGCGAGAAGATCTATATAACATTTAAAAAAAACTTACTCATCAGTAAAATCAATGACTTTCTTCATAATGCTCTTGAGACGCTTCTTAGTCTGGTTAATTTCAGTTTTACTCTTTTTCTTCGATGAACACGGCACTTCCTCTTCATCAGAATCGTCTTGACGTCTGAAAATAAAAAAAATTTCAATATCACATCCAGGGTGTTCAATAGCTATGTCCACCTTTAGTGTACATTTATGAAACCATTAAATGACTATGATAATAGGCAATATGCTCATGACGCCAAAGTGGACAAAACTTTTTTGTACACTTTACACTATTATAATGTGATTTAGTAGCAATAATCATTAAAAAATGTATTTCAAAATTGTCCGAGCCAATTTCTAACACGCAACGCCATTGGTCATTGCAAGTGACTTGTTTACATCAAGTGACTACTGACGTCACAAATCTCCGGCCAACTTCGGCCGCGTTGTAGTCGCAGGAATATAATCGTAACTTTATTTTCATTTAGCTTAATGGTTTATTACTTTCATGTCAATATTTTTTACTGGTTACCTTATAATAAGTAGAAACGTTTAAAAAAAACACATGCATATTATATATTATCCTACGTACCGTCGCTTGCGTCCCTTCTTACGGCGCTTGTCCAGAACTTCGTCATCATCGTCTTCCTCCTCCTCCTCTTCGAACTCCTCATCGATGGCCTTCAGCCACTCCTTCTCCGTCAGCGAATCCGTGTAGTCTACTTCCTTGCGCTGACGAGACCCACGCCCCAGGGTCTCGTCTTCGTCCAAGTAGTTCCAGCCTTGACCCTATCACAAGAAAATTATTGTCGCATTGAGATACGTCAATTGATTACTAAGGGAGACCAGAGAAGTAGATTCCTCCTCTAAAATCTGACAATAAATTCAAGTTTATCAGTGTAAGGCATGTTATTTATTATTATCTATACCGTTACTAAAAATTGTGTGTATACGGTATTTCACAAAAAAAATCATGTACATGATGTATTTGCTTTAGTGACAACATTTTTAAATTGTCTGTTTGTTCTATTATATTATTTTGAACAAGTATCAGCAGTAGAAACTGAGGGTTTTATTTCCTTCTTACCTTGTTACAGACGACCTCGTCATCCTCCTTGACGAGCCAGTCCGGCAGCTCGGACTCCTCGATGAGACGCGCCTGCGACTCCGTCTTCTTGCGCTCGATGTCGATCTGCTTGAAGATCTCCAGCTCCTCCTCAGACCGCGCTATCATCTCGTTTATCAGATCATCATCTGGCACTTCATTTTCCTCCTAGAAAATATAATTCGAGAATTAGATCTTTAAAACGTAGGCTTACGGTTCTATTTGTGTCATCTTAAAAATACACATGTTCAAAAGACAGCAAAATGTTTGTCACCATGTGACTCCATATCCGTTTAATCTTTTTTAAACGCGCGGACGTAGCCACGTGTAATATTTAGTTTTAAATCTAAAAAACATATGTATGTACCGAACATATGAATAATTATATTAAAATTAGTAATAAGACCTCTTCATCGTCGCCGTCCTGATGCAGGATGCTCTGCAGGAACTGCTGCCGCTCGGAGCCCGTCGACTTCTGGTCGAACATGCCCGCCTGGATCACCTTCTCGTCCATGTTCAGTTTGTATCTGAAATTCATATTTCATTTAATTTACAGTACTTTTAAATGTGTAAAATGAGAGTATATTTTAAATGTTAGTGTTTGTTTGGATGGATGTTTGCTACTATTTATTTCCATAACGAAGTTGAAAAATACATAAGCTACTTATAAGTTTTATGCTTCAATTCTGCGGAAAAGAAGTCATGGGCAAGAGTTAGTTATTCTATAATAAAAAAACAAATTTTTGGTTAATTTTGACGAATTCGAATTAAAGTATGAGCAGTACTATAATCAATACTATAGTCGTTTTCAGTAAAGTATTACTTAACGCGTATAGAGAGTATTAGATACCTGGCTGCGGCGAGGATCCTCTCCTCCACAGAGTTGACAATCAT